ATGAAACCCCAGCAGGGGTGGCTCTGGCTAACCCGCCTCCCCGAGGTTCTTGGGAAGAATGGGGCTCTGGGGTATTTCAGAAGGCTCCAACAGGACTTTGCCCCAGTGTTTTCTGTGGGACCTGGTTGAGCTCCTGGAGATAAATCTCACAGTGTCATGGCGCCTCCCCGACCCCGTGATTGGGTCGCCTTGCAGTTTTTAGCTCAGGGTGGCCCACACTGAGCCCCTGCAATCTGCGAATGACAGTGGTTTTCCTGCCATTGTGGGTCCCCGCACCCCCCCCCACTACCCAGGCTCCGCTCTGGGAGGCTGTGCTGACCTGTCTTGGGGCCACAGTGTGCCCTGTGTCCTCCCTTATGGATCCGGGAAGCATCTGTTCAGGTTTTCACTTGTTACCCCCCCCCAGTGACTTCCAAGCTCCTTATGCACAATGAGAAACATGCTAACTTTTTAAACCCCCCCCCAAAAGCAAACTTTACCATTACTTAACATTATGATGCCGGTTTAAACGAATTCCCCCCCCCCATTAACCAAAATAACAAAGGCGTACTTTTAAAAGGGAACTGGAAAGCTTTCCCCCCCCCAGGAAGAAGTTCCACTCTGAAAACTAGGGAAAGAGTGGTTTTGTGGAATAAGCTGTGAACTACTTCTCGTTAGCCGTAGGCTGTAAGCTGAGCCTGCCTGCATGCTGGTTGCCCCCCCCCGGGAGTGCTGGTCACCCTCGAGTCCACAGTGTCCTCCATCTGAGGATAGGGCCCCCCCCCACAGGCTCATGGTGAACACGGAGGATCTGCATCTGTATATTCATAACTATTCCCCCCCCCTCTAAAACATTTAAATTTAACATGGAATTTTGCTATTAGTATTTAGCAACTTCTTATTGTAAAAGCAATACACGAAATATGGCAAGTGAATTTATTCCTAAATATTTACAGATATTTGAGTCGGACCTTGGACGTTGTATCCTGGAGCTGGTGACAATTTGCCAATAACAATTTCTACTTTGCCCAAATCTATAACAACCATATGTGAAGTTTTTAATGTCTGTGTATTTACCCCCCCCCTGCTGACATAAAACATGAGGTTTCTGAATGTGAGACAGACTACTAGTGACTCCCCCCCCCTCTTCGGGCCGTTTCTGGGCGCGGACCCCACAGGTGGTGCAGCGAGCCCTGACGTGCTCTGCACAGACAGAGGCTTGAGAAGGGAGGGGACCTGTGGCCCAAGAGAGAGACTGTACCCCACTGGCCGTGTGAACAAGGGCTCTCTTGGGAGAGGAGAGGCTGCTGCTCATCCCCCCCCCCAATGAGACCAGATCACTCCAGAAGGCAAATGTCCCTGACCAGTCACTATCTCCCCCCCCCCTTATCCATCCTTCCTCCCAGGGGAGTTTGCTCAGAAAGCCTGACCACACTCCCCCCCCCTGAGTCAGAATACTTGAATACATTTTCAGAAGGTCCAAAGATTCTCTGACACCCCCCCCCGGAAGAGCTGAAAGAGAAAGTCCTATATTCAGGGATGGTTTCTGAGCTCCACCCCCCCCCGGCAAAGGGATGACATTGAAGCAAAAGAGGGAAAAGAAGAACAGAGGGCTGGAAGAGAAACGGGGGAGGGGAGGTCCATCGGCATTTTCCGGCTCGGGTGGGTGTCCGGTGCAGAGGAAGCAGAACCCAGATTTGGGGGCTGGCCTAGCTCTCCCAGGCTCTGGGAGGTGCCCCCCCCCCTGGATTAAAGCCAGGATAATTCTCATCACTCTGCTCTTCTTCCTGCCAGCCCCCCCCCCCTGACCTGCAAATTGGAATCTGAGAAAACGTGAGCTACTCATGTTTTCAAACCCCCCCCCCATGTGTTAATAACAGTCAATTTTATAGCATCTTATAGCATTAACATATAAACCCCCCCCCAGTTACCTGTGAACATGCAGGAAATATTAGAGGCAATTTTAAGAATGTCAACCCCCCCCCTATATTCTATCATTTAATTTTTTTTTACCTGAAAAGAAATAATTTAATTGAAGATTTGTAGACTGAAGAAATATTAGACAATTGTATATCAAATACAGAATTATTCTGTGTCCCCCCCCCGGCTGCACTGGAAGTGTTCCACAATAATATCAAAAGATGCCAAGATACTACCCCCCCCCCTCTAAAATTTCTGCAACATTTCAAGTCAACTATGGTCCCATAAAATAGAAACCCCCCCCCCTCATGACTTGGGAAAAGTAGCAATGGCATGTGGTTACAAATGTTCACTCTCCCCCCCCCGTCTGATTATTCCCTTTTCGTTGCCAGCTGGTTGGAAAAATTGAGGTGTCACCCCCCCCCGTTTTTCCTTTTCCTGATTTCTGAGTCATCAGGAATGAGTGTAAGGGTCGGCCCCCCCCCTCCCATTCCCATCCCCCGGAAGCATTTATCCAGAGACGGGCAGGCGTGGTGATGGCTCCGAATGCCGGTCTGCATCCCTCTCTCACTATCAGCGGATCTTAGCCCTCCTGACCCCCCCCCCAGATTGCTCACGCTGGCTGCATCTGAGGACCTCTGATGTAAGGAGGTTACGTCGGGGAGCATCTAGTTTGCAAAGCAAGGAGCTCTGACTGAATGTGCATCTCTGTGTAACCCCCCCCCTCCTAGTTCACTCTCGATCCTTCCTCCCCTCTACCGTCTGTCTGTCTGCCTTTCCTCGTAAAAGGGGTCAGGCTTTTTACCCTTGGGTTGTTCTCTTAAGACATCACCACAACAGAGTCATCACTGGCGCATATTTTTAAGACAAAGTTCTGATCAGGTCGGGCTGAGGTGGGACCTGAGATTCTGCATTTCTAGCAAGCTCCCAGGTGATGCTGATGCTGCTGGGTCACGTGGCCTCACAATTCAAGAGCCCTTTTTAATACATCAATAATAAATTTACTTGAAAGTCAGGATCTCTGAGCCCCATGCCACACTTGCTAAATCTGAATCAGATGGTGCCAGGAACATGCCTCATAATGGGCTTCGCAGGTGATTCCTGGCTGTGCTTAGGTTTAGTTGAAAACTCTAGGAATGTCTGCTTCAGAAATTTCATCCCATCACTGACCACTGTCAGTGAACTTTTTGAACTTTATATTTACCTTCTAATTATATATATGTGGATACACACACAAGTATATAATCTTTCACTTTCCCCCCCCCGTAGAGGCTGATCTTGTTGTCTCGGGAATGACCATGTCCTAAATCATTCCAGCCTGTGAGATGGTTGGGTTTAGTGTTGGGTTGAAACAGCCCAGACAGTTTCCAGAGCTATAACTAATTTAAAAAAGGTGAAAGGAGCCCGGAAGGGCATCATGGATATTTTGGAGGTAATTTGCGTCAAACAGAAACAGGAATACTTTGTGCTTTTTCTGAATCAGAGAAGCATTCATGCCCCCCCCCTTGAGGACGGCAAACCCACACACTGACGTGAGCCTGCATAGTGCCAGGTCACCCCCCCCCGGAAGCTAGTAAGGGGGAACGTTCTGAATAATGTAATTTTTTTCTTTGTATTTTCACGATTCTTCAAAAATAAGCAGCATCGTTGTAACTAGAAAAGTTAAAAATTGTGTCCCCCCCCCCCTTGTAGCCTCGAAGCTCCGCTATACCCCAAATCACCTTCCAGTTATCACTCCCCCCCCCCTTCTCGTCTATATTCTACCTTTTGCATTTTTAATCACAGGAGTAAGGACTCCCCCCCCCGTCAGTTGATACTAAGTGGCCACATGTCCCTGTGATTCTTGTGTCATTAACTCTTTGGTGAAATGTTCCGAGGTGATGGGTTTGAAATGCCTGGTTGGCTCCCTGTGTTTCCCCCCCCCCCCGATTTCAAGAAGGTTACCACTTAGTACATCAAGTACTTTCAACGTTTCACCCCCCCCCTGAACCGTGATTAGTTTCATTTTTTATTTGTATGTTTAATGGCTGGAAAGTAAGTGCAGGGTGAGCAATAAAAACCAAATTTGTTACAGTGTTGACTATTTCAGATTTTATCCCCCCCCCATTCTAGTGTAGAGATCATACATGTGACGTGAATTGTCAGCCGTGACAGCACCCCCCCCCCAGATGATTTGGGATACCTGGGTGGCTCAGTTGGTGAAGCCTCTGCCTTTGGCTCAGGTCATGATCTCAGGGTCCTGGGATCGAGTCCCGTATCCGGCTCCCTGCTCAGGGCCCCCCCCCCTTCTCCCTCCCCCTCTGCTGCTCCCCCTGCTTGTGTATGCACACTCTCTCCCCCCCCCCTTCTGTCAAATAAATAAAATCTTTAAAAAAAATCAGATGATTTGATCATTACCCCCCCCCAAATAGTTGTAAAACGCAATGTCAGGCCAATCAAAAACACATTCAGTTAAACCCCCCCCCTAATAAGTTTGTATTATTCCTGGAATGGAACAGACTAGTGGGTTTAGTCCTAAATCACAAGACTGGACACACACACTTCAGGTCACATTCCAGCAAACACACAGACTCAACGCGTGCTCATACACAAACTAGTCACCCTCCTAAGTTCTCTCAATTTGACCTAAAATTCCTCCTTAATTCAGTGTCAATCCAAGTCAGTGTAGAATCCAAAATGAATTCTAGAGCTGTACCCCCCCCCCCGTGATAGATGAGCCCCTACCTTACCAGCTTGTGCCGCGCCCCAGCGGAGGTCCCCCCCCCTGACTCCCAAGTCCACAGCCACGTGAGGGTTTAGTGCTCCTACCACCCTACTCATGGCTTAGAGTTTAATTAAGGTAAAGACTCACTCCATTGCTGTGAATGTTTACAATTCCCCCCCCCAAGGTAGCATGTTTGTTTTCATGTATACTTAATAATCTTTCCATCCTTACTCCCCCCCCCTTGACAAAACTGCAGGATCTCTAAAGTGTACAATGCGGTAGTTTGATGTGTCCCCCCCCCCTACACTGAAGTGACATGCCCATTGTCTCACATAGGTACCTTTTTTTAAGTCCCCCCCCCCTTGTGGTTTATGTGTATGTTTTATATTTCTTACAGGTTAGCATGTTAGACCCCCCCCCCGCAGAAAAAACCTACAACCTCTGTGAGGTACTATTTAAACTTCACAAGGTAGGTATTCTTTGCACATGAGTGCTTTCATATAAATAAGATGTGCCTTTGGGTTCAGAGTCCCCCCCCCCCGTAAGATAACCTGAAAATCTTCTGTATTCATCTCATTTTCCCATCCTCAAACCCCCCCCCCTGTTGTTCATAAAGGTGGATGGGTGGGTCAGTAGGTGGATGGATAGATGACCCCCCCCCTGGGTGGGTGGGTGGGCAGATGTGTGAGCAGATGGATGGGTGGGCAGATGGCCCCCCCCCGCACAAGTGTGTATGTGCACATGTACTGGAGAGGGTATTTTAGTTGCCTCCCCCCCCCCCGATACGTTCAGAATCTTTGGTTATTATTGTCCTTGTCATTGTTTTTAATATCCCCCCCCCAAACTTGAGTCCTAACAGCTTTCTTATCAGCCACTGAGCTGACCAGAATGGCCCCCCCCCTAGTTGCCTCCTATTATAGGGAAAGTACTCACTGGCTAAGGAAGGGCAAAGTGTTACCTGTAACATGCATCCCAAGCTTTTGGTATCATCCATCCAGTTTAGTTGAACACTCCCCCCCCCGTGAGTCCATTGCAGCAGAATCAGTTCTCAGTTTCTGCTGGGCTGACACCTCCCCCGGGGCATGTGGGGTTGGGGGCGTGGGTCAGGGCTTCCCATGAGTCCTGGTGGGACTCCTGCTTGCTTGCAGTGGTCGTGTGTTGCTAGATTAGAGATGAAGGCAAATGGGTGAATGTGGATTCCGCCAAGTTGCACAAGCCTCGGAGACAGTTATCCCATTGGTGGACTTTTAGCAGATCTCAGGCTAGTAGAGAATTCTTTAAAACACTAAATTATACAAAAATGTTGGGAAGTCCCCCCCCCGATGGAAAATGTGGGGAAGAAAGTCAGTCCTGGTCACTGAGCCGGCTCAGGTGAGGGCAGATGGTCCCTGGGGGAGTCAGTCCCCCACCTCCCTGGTGGCCTGGGGGCAGCCCCCCCCCCCCCAGGCCCGCTCCCAGCTGTGGCTTGTGCCCAGGCTGGTTGGGAGGCCGCGTGTCTGGCCTCCGGTCGCTGCTCAGGGAGAACCCAGGGCTGTCACCACACGTCATGGGGGCAGAGCCACAGGCAACTGGCCCTCAGCCTGCCGGGCGCAGACTGCTGAGATCAGGCCGGCCCCCCCCCTACAGGCAGTGGGGGGGGATGGTTGAGTGCCACCGAGGGTTTGTGGTTGTGCCCCCCCCCCGTGTTCCAGAGTTCAGTGCGCTATCGCTTCTCGGCCTTTTGGCTAAGATCCCCCCCCCCGTTCGATGGGTTGACTCCACCCCTTGAAATTTTACTTGATTTCTTTACGCCTCAGTTACGTCATCTGCAGAATGAAAGCAGTACTGGTATTCTCTATTGTACGATCCTCTCTGCAGGGTTGTGTTAATTCAGTGTGATGCTGTCGCTCTGGCCATAGTGAAGTCCTCACTCCCCCCCCCCTCCTGGGCATGTGTGAGGTCCCTTCCAGTTCAGGGCGTCCCGGGAGCTGGGACTCACCAGCACCGCAGTCCGGGACAGTGTGCTGCCGGTGACTACATCCTATCCTACGGGCCCCCCCCCGGCGGGAGCTTTAATGCAGAGCTAAAGATTCCGTCTTATATGAGATGTGGCCCCCCCCCCTGTCTTCATTCTTTAGGCTTCCATGGTGATGTTATCATGCAGCTAAATATCAAAACTACTAGTGTGTGCCAGGCAGTGTTTGTGGCTTGACAAGTCCTTGTAAATAAACACCCCCCCCCCGCACTAACAAATCCCTTTGAGTTATTAGATATTAAGCTAGATAGAACCTCACCCCCCCCCGGTGGTGTTGTACTAACACCCTTAACAAAGCCGTGAGGATAGTAATTGGTTCCCCCCCCCGTAGTGATCATAATATTTACTTATATCTCCTTCACATGTTTCCTCTTCACACCCCCCCCCTTCACTTACTTATCTTTCCTGCAGTAGTTGAAACTCATTTGCTCAATTATTCCCCCCCCCGTGAAAATTAAAGTCCCAGAGAGAGAGCTGCCTCTGTGTTGGTGATCTATTTCTGGGAAACAAATAACCCAAACACTTAAATGTACAGAACGACAGGCATTATCCCAGCCCCCCCCCCCCAGGCGTCATCTGTCTCACTCTTGTGCACAAGGTGAATCAGGATTTCAGCCTACACTCTGTGGTCCCGGCCAAACGCAGCACAGGGGAATTCGGTTGCTGGAAGATGCTGGACTGGAGGGCGCGGCGCCTTGCTGGAGGCTGCCCTCTGATCCTAGCCAGGTGGCGCGCTCCCCCCCCCCCAACCCATCATTTCTGCCATATTCTGTGGTTAGAGCAGGGCACTAAACGCATCCCCCCCCCGACACGTGACATATATGTATCATATGTATGATATCTAGAAATATACATGCGCCCCCCCCCCAGGTGATGCCCACCATACAGTGTTGGCTGTAGCATGACAGGGAGCAGACTGCACTTGGCCAGACTGTGCTTGTTGCTGAGGAGGCCGGTGTGCAGGGTGGGGACGTCTGGTCGACCTGTGGGCTTCAGTGAGCTCTCAGAAGTGAGTCATATACACTGTGGAATAAGGCTCCCCCCCCCTTTCCTCTGAAAAGACCAACAGCAAGCCTTGACCACGTTATCAGGGGCATGAGTTTGGGAGTTGTGTCCAACCAGCTAGGAACTTCCTTCCTTTTGGGGATACATCCAACAAGGACTGATTTCTTCCAGCAGCAAGGAGCCCAGATGGAGAGCTTTGACTCCACGGTAAATGAGGCACAGGCCTGAAATACAAGCCAGGAAGGGTTTGTCCTGTGTCTCGGTGTAGGAGGGCCCCCCCCCCTGCATAGAACCCCCCGTGTCCTTCTCAACTATGCAAATCCAAATAGGAAATCTGAGTCTAAGTCAAAAGCTAAAAATATACCCGATGGAATTTTTAGTGTGTTTTGTCTGCCCCCCCCCCCCTAAGGAGTCATTAATCAAAAATTAGAAGTTTTGAATGAAAATTTAACGCCCCCCCCCTTGGTTGGCCTCCTTAAATATCCTCAAAAAGAATTTTAAATTTAGATCTGGCCCCCCCCCCTGCATGTAATAGTAAATACACACAAGGGAAACACATTCCCATAATACTATCATCAAAATGCTAAAAAAATTAATGTTATTTTGAAGCTGTTCTCATGACAATTCTTACGTCCCCCCCCCTACTCATCGATATTCCAAAAAAAAGAATTTTATAGAAAGATCTAATGTCTTTTATCTTTTTTTACAAAGGCTCTTCACTGTCCCATTTTGGCCTTTTTATCACCTTGTTTATATGGCTTTCCACATGTCAGAGGTGTGGTTTTGGTATTGGGATATCTCCGCAGGATCATCCCCCCCCCCGGATGTTCTTCATTAATAAACCAGACAGCTGTTTCTGTTTTTATCCAGCATATTTCCCAGGAAGACTGAGGGAAAGTCTTCGTCAGTACACTTGTTATGAAGTGATTATGGCCCCCCCCCATTAGCCAGGAGACCAGCCACAGCACGAGGTCAAACCTACAGGGCACAAGTCCCCCCCCCAAAGACAATTCTATAGCACTTAACAGTTTTAAAAAGGAGGTTGTATTCTGTCCCCCCCCCGATGTATTTGGAAGTCTTAAATAGTGATCTCACAAAATGATCTCTTCTTTTGTGCACATCTTTGCGGAAGATCATCCTGCACACATACACTCAAAATTATCCATCAGCATTCCCCCCCCCTTTCAAAGCGTAAAGTAAGTGAATGATTATTCTAAGAACTGGTACGCAGGGCCCCCCCCCTTAAAATGACCGTCTCCAAGGACAGTCATCAGTATGTGGTCCAGGAATTAACCCCCCCCCTTGTAGTTTTGTTTTTCTGACTTTTTTCTCTCTAAAGATTACTTTTTCTGATTCTTAGATTACTTCTTAGATTACTTCTTCTGATTCTTGTTGTGCTCTATTTCAACTCTCATTAGAAAATAGATGAGAAAATTACATCAGTCAGCTTTGGTTGCAGAAGAGACATAAACTCCCCCCCCCTCCCGGAGAGCGGCTATTATAATAAAGGTGCCGTCCAACAGTGAGGAGCATCCTGCAGGAAAGTAGATGGATTTTCCTCTCAATATAAGAATATTCCATTTAAAATTTTCACCCCCCCCCAGCTTACTCATATGTTTAGCAGAGGATCTAGATAGTAATGTCTGCTTTTGGGGAGTGCCTCCGGGAGCCTTGCTGAGCACCCCATTTACTTCTGAGCTGATCCTCATTATCTTCCCCCACAGCTCGGAGCTCAGAAGCACAGGGGAAGTAACTCCCCGGAGCCTCACTGGAGGCTGGATGGGACCCAGGTTTGCTTGGCTTCCAGCTGATCTTATATCCTATTCTATTTCACCCCCCCCCAGATCATGTTCAGGAATCTCTCTGAAGTCTTAGGAGTTTTCTAACCCACTCTCCATCACCGGCAAAGCAGTGGGTTTCTGTAGTTGGGATTCCCAGGGAAGGGGGTTCTCACCCCCCCCCCCGAAGTCCCTCCCATCAGAGGAGAGCTTGCAGGGAACAGCAGGGAAGACTTTGCATTTGGCTCAGCTGCATTTCAGCAAAGGGCAGGGGGTCTCTAAGAGCTGGGGGGCCCCCCCCCCCAGGAACCCTGGGCCAACTGTGGGACCCAAAGTAAAAGTGAGCTGTCTCTCTCCCCCCCCCGGCTTTAGTTTTGCAAGTGGAAGCAGAGCCAGAGACATGGGCCTCCTGCATGGCATGGAGGCCTGAAGGCAGGGGCACCATGTTCCTTGATGTCTGCATTCCCAGGGGAAGGCTCCAGGTCCCCAAGAAAGACAAACCTGGGCTGTGGACTTGGCAGCAGGCTCTTAACAGCCCCCCCCCCTCAAAGGGATTTATAATTAGGTTTTTAATGCAGATGCTCTGTGGATAGGACCCCCCCCCGAGGTCTAGGGGAGCCTAGACCTGTGTCAGAACTGTGTCAGAGCAAATCACCCCCCCCCCGTTGACTGAGTTATTATTTCAAAAGGGTACTACTAGGAAACAGCGGGAATGCCCCCCCCCTGGAGCATAAGGTCACTTACATCATATTAATAGCACATTATTTGTTGTGAGCCCCCCCCCTTGGTGTTACAGAAAGTAAAGACATCTCTGAAATCCTTTCGTGTTCTGTCGCCCCCCCCCTCAGGTTGTTCAAAAGCTATTTTTAGTTCCTCCCATTTCTTACATACAGAGCCCCCCCCCCTAGTTTGAGTAGTAGACACGTTACTCCTTGAAATTCCTCAGAATTGCTCTCCCCCCCCCATTCAAAAGAGTCAAATTGCTATGTGGGTGAAAATATTTAATGTGAGCTGGCCCCCCCCCCACACTGACTGTCCCACTGCTCAGCATTGCCTTAAAGACAACGTGCTCTTGCCCCCCCCCGTAATGACCTAGTGTGAGCCAAGGATGTGTGTGCCATGTGCAGCCTCCTCCCCCCCCCCCCATTTGAAAGTTCAAAAACAGGCTCAGAGAGAAGTAAATGGCCGAGGTCAACCCCCCCCCGTTGGCAGAGGAAGGTTTCAGGTCTTGACGGATCTCAAGCCTATGAAACTGCCCCCCCCCCAGTTATCCCAGTGACAGGAGAGAACGGGACTGGCCGTCCCACTGACCTCCCCCCCCCCCAGACGCTTCCTGAGGGGTCGTCTTTGGTCATCAGTCTTTGACGGTTACACTCCCCCCCCCCAGACATAATTTCTGTAAGGGTGCTTGCTATTCTTGGTTTATGACATGTCACCCCCCCCCCTGAATGGCTTCTGTTTCCCAGGCTAAAGTGAAGGACCCAGGGGGCTCCAACCCCCCCCCGCAGTCTGTGTTCCCAGGTTCATTTTGAATGAGGAATGCAGGCACAGTGCACAGGCCACACACGCACACCCACACGCACACACGCACACCTATGAGGCAGGAGGTGTCTGGCCTTGTGCAGGAATCCGTGCTGCTGGACACCAGCCACGGGCAGACAGCACAGAGGGCAGTCCCCCCCCCACAGAGACGTCCATAGGCCAGCAGGAAGTCAGGGGCCCAGAGCCCACGAGCCCCCCCCCCATATCAGCCATCACTCTGACCTGCAGACTGGTGCCCAGAGAGCATAAGAAGCATGTGGCCAACAACCACGTTCATGTGCATTTGGGGAATTAACTGAACATATGTGTGAATGGAGTGTGTCTGGCTTGGCTGGATGGCCCACCTGGATCAAAATATCTCAAAATCACAGTGCCCCCCCCCCATACTGGGCAGCTGGGGTCATTTGTGCCCCCACACTTGAGTGGCGCTAAACCCCCCCCCGCAGGCCGCCCAGCATCCCTGGAAAGGATGTCTGCCCTCTGTCCTCTTCACTGGGCAAGGTGGTGCTGGCGGAGCCCATGCAGAGGAACAGTGTGGGGCAGTGTGGGCACGCCCCCCCCCGCACTCCTGTGTGCGCGCATGTCCTCCAGTGTGTGTGTGCACCTGTGTGCACCCCCCCCCCAGTGTGTGTGCACCTGTGTGTGTGTGTGCGTCCTCCAGTGTGTGTGCACGCCCCCCCCCACCTGTGCGCGTGTGCGTGTCCTCCAGTGTGCACTTGTGTGCAACTTTGTGCCCCCCCCCCCTCCAGTGTGCGCGTGTCCTCCAGTGTGTATGTGCACCTGTGTGCACGTGCCCCCCCCCTCCAGTGTGTGTGCACACGTGTGCACCTGTGCGCACGTGTGTCCTCCAGTGCCCCCCCCCGTTTGCACACATGCGCGTGTCCTCCAGTGTGTGTGCACAAGCGTACACCTGCCCCCCCCCGCGTGTCCTCCAGCGTGTGTGTGCATGTGTGCACGCGTGAACGTGCGCCCCCCCCCCCCCGTGTGTGTGCATCTGTGCGTGCGCATGTCCTCCAGCGCATGTGTGTGCATCCCCCCCCCCGCGTCCTCCAGTGTGTGTGCATGTGTGCACCTGTGTGCACGCACGTTCTACCCCCCCCCCGTGTGCGTGTGCACCTGTGTGCACGTGTGTGTCCTTCAGTGTGTGTGTGCACCCCCCCCCGCTCATGCACGTGTCCAGTGTGCATGTGCACGTGTGCACCTGTGTGCATGCCCCCCCCCCCCAGTATGTGTGCGCATGTGTGCACCTGTGCACATGCACGTGTGCCCTCCACCCCCCCCCTGCACATGTGTGCACCTGTGCGTGTGTGTCCTCCAGCGTGTGTGTGCACGTCCCCCCCCCTGTGCGCACACGTGTCCTCCAGCGTGTGTGCGAGTGTGCACCAGTGTGCACCCCCCCCCCCCAGTGTGTGTGTGCACGTGTGTGTGTGTCCTCCAGTGTGTGTGCGCGAGTCCCCCCCCCTACACGCATGGAAAGCATGTTGGAGGGGTGGCTGCGGGCGGGCAGGCAGCCCACACAGGCAGGGAGAGCAGATACTGGCCAGGCACCGCCCTGCCACCCACAGCTCTGCGCCCCCCCCCCCTGAGACCAGTGTGGGCTTGAGCCACCCGCGGCATCTGCTGTGTCCGTAAGCCCCCCCCCAAGGAAGTGCAGCCGCAGGGTCACTCTGCTCTGACCTTCACTCTTGAAGGTCCCCCCCCCGCGTTCATTCTATGCGGTCAGGACCACTGGGTTAACATTTGTCAATCCTGACCCCCCCCCCTGGTCCTGCGGCTTCTGAAGTATTGTGAGCAGGGGGTCCTCTTCCTCGGGCCCCCCCCCGGTGGTGGGGGCACTGCGGTGCCCTGGGAGCTCATGGTCACTTCCAGTAAGCCCCCCCCCTGTCTTCATTGTTCACTGGTTTTATGCCCAACTGGAGCACGAAGGTCTCCTCCCCCCCCCTCTGTTTTTCAAGTGAGACATTGAAGAAGCAGCTGTGGTTACCAGAATTTTCCCCCCCCCGTGCTTTTGGCTGTAATTTACTTAAAATTGTGTTTTTTTGGAGCCGGTTTCCCCCCCCCCCATGTCGGAGGACAACCTGTTCCTGAATGTGCCCCCAGGTGTGGCTGGCCGGGGTCACAGCAGTCCCCTGCGGGCTGGCAGCCAGGTCCCATTCTTGGCGGTTCTGGGGCATCTGCAGTGTCGGGTCCCGGCCCTCAGTGGGGACCCCCGTCCCCCGCTAACATGCTGCCTGCTCTGTTTTCCAGTTCTGGCTCGCGGAGGATTGCTGGCTGCACGTGGACCTCGGCCTGGGGCCTCACAGCCTTGAGGACACGTGGCCCTACTGCTTCAGTGTCCTGGTCGGCCATGGCCCCCCCCCCCTGTTCAGCGTGGAGCTGGGGAGTGAGCTGGCTGCGTGGGAGAGGTCTTTCCCCCCCCCCCCTTCCATGGAAGTTCAGAGAACCGGGGTAAGCGACTCCCAGCTTTTGAGGGCCCCCCCCCGTGGATGCCTGACCTTGCAATTCGGTGTTCAGACATTTGTTCCAGAAAGAACCCCCCCCCTTAAAGTTGAGCGTGCTCCCCTGGGTCTCCAGGACCAAGCGAGTGTGTTTGCCCCCCCCCGGGGTCACGATGGGGAGGAGTGAGGGGGTTTTGCATCTCTACATGTATGTGCGGGGAGAGCCACTTGCTTCCCTCCATGGGGCTCAAGGGACAGCACACCCATGCTCCTGTCCCCCCCCCCTCCGACAGACTCTTCTCTGCAGACGGCGCATGAATAATCCGCTGTGAAGACCCCCCCCCACGGTCACGTTATGGCATGCAGCGACCCTTCCTCTGCATCTTAGTGATCCACCCCCCCCCATAGACTGGGCCTTGTCAGGACAGCAGATGAATCACCCACACGCTTGGATACCCCCCCCCGGAAAGTGTTAGGAAGAAAGTACTTCAGTCCTTATCATCATGAACAGCAGGCCCCCCCCCATGGGGGGCCACCCTACAAATCAGAGGCAAATGCATCGGGGGGGAACTTAGCCCCCCCCCAGCGCTGGGCTCATCTGACCTCGCGTCTGTAACCCTAAGGCTGTGAGCTCAGCCACGGAAAACTGCCCCCTCCCTCAGACACGTGTGTTTGGAGTGGGAAGATCCCGGGTTACCATCTGGTCTCCTGGTTGGTGCACTGGCCGCCACAGGCCTGGGGGCTTCCCTGTGAGTCCCCCCCCCTCACTGCCACCCGTGGGTCCACATGGTGAGGTCATACTCTGATGTTTTGTGCCCCCCCCCCGTCACAGTTTCTTCTGCGACCCTTCTCTTGAGTGGAGCAGGGTGTCCTGGATGGAATTTGGTTCTGAAGCTCACGGTAACTCGCTTGCTGCAGGCGGGTGTGGGAGGGTCCCCCCCCCCCAAACACCAACTCCCTGATCTCGGGGACCTGCTTGGACTTGTAGCAGCTGTGAGCAGCTCAGACCCCCTGAACACAGCTGATGTCTCAGAGCGCGAGTGACAGCCCTTGTTCCCCCCCCCGAACTTTATGTTCTTACCTCAGGCGAGCATCACTCCATGGTGTCCACGGCTCCCCCCCCCGCAGGGGGCTGTTTGAGCCCCTGGGGGAGACACCCTCCAGGAGACACACCACCCCCCCCCGCAGTAGAGGGAGGCTGCAGGACCCACTCATCCCATGCCCGTCATAACACACCCCCCCCCCCAACCATCCTGCGTGGCTTCCATTCTCTCTTCTCCCTTCCTTGTGTCCAGCCCCCCCCCTCAGGGCTCGGGCGCACCGTGCTTTCATAGCCAGAAATCCCTCCAGAAGAAGTGGCTTCTCTCTTTGCAGAGTCCTTGGTACTTGGGGCAAGTAGGAAAGAGGGAGGCCAGCCCCCCCCCTGTAGAAGAGAGGATGTGAAGTCTGGATTAGGACATGGCGGGCAGTGTGCCCGGCGAGCTCTGGGGGAAGCATTTTCAATTATCCAGGATCAAGACGAGGATCTCTTCGTGCCCCCCCCCGGTGAGGATGAGTGTGGTCATGATGGTGACCATCCGGTGACACGAATAATGCCCCCCCCCGTGCCACGGGTGCTCCTGGAGAGAGTGCGATCTCCTTGTGCAGGAGGGAGACCCCCCCCCAGGCCTCCCAAATCTGAGAATCCTCATACCCACTTGAGCCTTTCCAAGACACCCCCCCCCGGGGTTTCCTCGCCCCCAGGTGCTGACATCCAGTGCCGGAGGCTCGGTTTTCCCCCCCCCGAGGTGGGAAGGAAGGAGGATATCCTTTGGAAAGTGGTGGATCAGGTCTTGCCCCCCCCCGTTTCTGCCTCTGTGAACATGGGCAAAATAGTTCTCCAAACACCTCTACTTCCCCCCCCCATTAAGGATTAGAGTGTACACACCAGAGCCGTTATGGCAACTAGGATAATTCCCCCCCCCGCTCTGTGCCAAGCTGTGTGCCGTTTGTGTGCACTGTTAATCTTTTAAAGTCCCCCCCCCATGTGATACTGTTTTTTTTCCTTTCCTTTCACTGATGAGAAGACTCAGTTTCCCCCCCCCGAGTGGCCCCTTCAAGGTCACCCGGAGATGAGCCACGTGACCAGTGACCAGCCCCACCCCGCCCCTGTGCCGAAGCGTGTTCTCCCCTGCAACACGCTGCCTCCAGCACAGCCCCCCCCCGCGCGTGTGAGAGGCGACCCAGGGCAAGCGGGCTTCTTGACTGCTTAGCGCTGCCACCGCCGTCCTGTGTCTGCTTGATTCAGCAGCTTCTCTTCTGTGTTCAGACTTTGACCCCCCCCCAGCCCAAGATCCCAGCTTTAAAGTTCGACAGGGTTTACCTGTTTATAATTTCCCCCCCCCTGGTTTCCTTCTCTGTGTTCAGCAGGCTGCAGGCCTTATTCGTGCTTCTCCATAAGGATTTCTGAAAGAGAGGTCTGGATTTACACTCAGGGCATGTTTCTCCCCAGTAGTCCCCCCCCCCACCTTATCTGGGCTCAGTGTTGTAGAAGCTGGATGCTTGCCTCCTGCCCACCCCCCCCCCAATGACATTTTTAAACTAATAACATTTTAAATCATACTTATATTACAGATCCCCCCCCCGCACCTGAAATCCAGGTGTCCTACACACGCACCGACTGAATGGAGAACTTCCCTGGTTGGGGCGTCTGGGTGGCTCAGTCGGTTAAGCATCTAACTCTTGGTTTCGGCTCAGGTCTTGATCTCAGGGATGTGAGATTGAGCCCCGAGTCAGGCTCCACGCTCAGCGGAGTCTGCTTGGGATTCTCTCTCTCTCTCCCGCTGCACCCCCTCCACCACTCGTGCTCATGCTCTCCCCCCCCCAGACATAACAAAGAACTTCCCTGGTTGTGCCCACTGTACCTCCCGTGGGCTCCCCCCCCCGGGTGGGTGTCGTGTTGTACATTCTTCAGATGGTTTTACACAGATGACAGCCCCCCCCCCTCTTTCTTACTAAAAATGTATTCATCACGTGCGCATAATGCTTTGTAATGTCCCCCCCCCTGTACATTTTATGCACATCAATTCATCTAATTTTTTTTTTTACTTATCCCACCCCCCCCCTTTTAGAATTTAAGAAAAACAGAAAATCTCTTTCCTCATCACGACATGCGGCCCCCCCCCTCTGCATCCGGGGCCGGCCACCTGTGGCCACAGTGGCAGGAATCCCCTGCCTTGCGCTACGACGCACTGGGACTGTAACCTTCCTGATAACAGGGCTTCCCGCAGATGCACCCCCCCCCCCCATTTCCATCCCACCGAGCTCGGAGTTTCGGATGTTTGCTTAGAACGCCTCCCCTCCTGGTTGTGGATGCAGCGGCCTTCTGTTCACCCTCCCTGGAGGAGGGTGCTTCTCCCCCCCCCGTGGGATGACCGTAGCGTTCCCCCTTGGGTCTGATTTTGCCAGATTACGTCCCCCCCCCCGTGGATTAACATGCTTGTCAGGGAATGCTGTCTGCTGACCAGTGTCCACTCCCCCCCCCCGGGTGCGGTTAACCTCCCTCCAGGGTAGAAGAGGGGTGGACACCATAAGCTCCCCCCCCCGAAGTGATTACCAGCCAGCGACAGGGGGTTGATGGCTGGTTTATTTCAAGATGACTCAGCCGTTCTCACTGGTGCCGTATAAGAAATGAAGTGACATCTATGCAGGCAGCCCCCCCCCCCCCGGAGTGTGACCATGTCCGTGAAGGTTTACCTCAGTCATGACTCCCTGTGCCCCCCCCCTCGTGTCCTTCTAACAGGAGATCTTCCAATTCCAGCCGCGTTTAGGGGTCACCCCCCCCCTGCTGTCACCTGCAGGTGGGGCAAGTGTGAGCGCCACCCACCTGCTGTGCGCTGGGGACTGTCGCCATGCGGGGGGCCTCGCGAAGTTAGCTACTCCATACAGAATTCGCGCCCCCCCCCGGAAATGCACTTTGCAAGGACTTAGAAGTCTCTCTTCCAGCCAAGCTGTCTTCAGACCTCAGGTGCACCCAGCCCGCGAAGCAGAGACACTTTCCCAAGTCAGGGTGAGTGCCCCCCCCCGGGTTTGGGGCTCCCTCATCCGTCCTGTGCGAAGCACCTGTGTCCAGAACTCCCCCCCCCAGAGAAGCCACAGAGAAAGAAGGCCAGGATGTTCTGACCCCAGAGCTATTTAAAAGTAGGATGGACTGTTCTGGGGAGTAGTGAGTGCCCTGTCACCAGAGGCATCCAAACCCCCCCCCCCTTCTCAGGGACTTTGCAGAGAGGAAAATGCTGCCCGCAGGCTGGACTATACCCCCCCCCATATGAGAGCAGATTGCCTAGGATATTGGCAACCAAGCGTGTCCATAAAACCCCCCCCCCACAAGGAAATGTGTTGAGAAACGTGACCCACCTGAGTGGGCTGGCGAAGCAGGGAGCCAAACTTATGGAATGGCTCGCATATTTACTTATGAAGTCAGCAAGCTCCTCGTTCCCCCCCCCTGAAATGGAAACAGGCATACAGAGCACGGGTCTGCCGTTCGGACGAAGAGCCACGTGCCGTGGGAAGGAAGTACTTATGGAGGATTCTGTGGACGACTGGAGGACAGGACTCCCCCCCCCGCTCCTGTCAGCACCACCTCCTGGAGGGGGGGGTGTCACGCTGCCTCATGGCCCCCCCCCCCCCCTCCCGCGCCGTCCTGTCCATGGTGGGCATCTGCCCGCGGGCCCTGCCCCCCCCCCCGCTGGAGGGAGCCCCTCTGAGCAGGCATCTGCGCACATGCCCTGCCACAGCCCCCCCCCCCGTGGGCTTTGCTCCCCTCCACATATGTGCAGGCTGGTTCCTGATACCTCCCCCCCCCCTGACCTAGCAAACCAGGAGCCAGATCAGAGCTGCTGACATGAGAGGGCATGCCCCCCCCCCCAGGATCAGGGCTGAGACCAGAGCCAGCAGCTCCTACAGCTTGGTTCCGGCCCCCCCCCATTGACCGCATGGCCTCTCTTGCACGCTTTCATAGTAATGGCCCCT